TGCTCACAGGTGCTCAACATGTAAGATTTATTAATATTACACAGCTCTGGTGTCTTTTAATGAAAAAAAGGATGGGTTAAATCTACTTTACTACGTGCAGGGAGACTCATCTCTCATTATACAGTTCTTGTTTCTTTTTCTTTTTTCATCCCATTGGTTGATAGAGTTGCTTATGTGGCCTTTGCCTCATTTTCTCACTGTTTATGAAAAATAGGAGAAAATTAAATGCTCCTCCAACAATGAAGCCATGACTTTGGCCACATACCAGCCCTTGCAACCAGCTCTTGCCTCCCAGCAGGAGCAGCACCACTCCAGCCATAGGGGAGCTGTTTGTAGCCAGAGTAGGACACTGCAGTTGACCCCCATGAAAGGAGAACAAGTATTTTGACTTGTTGGTTTTTTCTGTAATGGTGCCATTTATCACTATGACACACATTCATTGACTTAGTCTGGCTTTTTTCAGTGTGGGATTTATACCTCTTTTCTGTTTTGAATATTGATGCAGCACTTCCCTTACGTGACTGCACTGCCAAATGGTGTCTAGACGCTCGGGCAGCTCTGACTAATTGGTGGAGTCACCTCAGTCTCTCAGCTCTGGCATTTACCTACTCTTTATGTTACTGCTATAAATAGGTGCCTGAACACAGGCAGCAATGCAAGGAGAGGTGGCAGTGAGCATGTCCAGACCTCACCTGACATCCCTGAGGTGTGGCACAGGAGCACGGGCACTCTCTGCATTCCTTACAGGCAGGTGCTTCTAACCACTCACTTGGACATCACAACAGCCAGCTGGAGACCTGAGTTTTGTGTCTTGCTTGGTTTGAACATCACCAGTGCTGTGGCAAGGCTGAGAGAGGTTTCTCTCCTCAGGGCTCAGCCCCTGTGTACCAACAACGCATTCAGAGAGCAAAAAAAGAAGAGAAATCACCACCTGCCACCCCAGTGAGATGGGTACTTGTTGAGGAGGAATCTGGTTCAGAGTGTTGCTTTGTGGTAGGTCGTTATTTGCACCAGATCCAAACTAAAAATTGTAAAAATTTTCTGCTGCTTCACAATTCTTACCATACTTTTAAATATTGCACCAATGCTAAAGCTGAATTGACCAGCCTTAAAGAGGGAGAACTGATAAATATCAAAGACATCAAAGAACTTTTACAGAACCTTGAGAACAAAAAGTAGTGAAAACCTAATCAATGTTGCCTATGCAACAAGTTGTACTAATATGAAATTAAATTGCTTCAAAAATTATATGCAGATTCAATACAATACTGCTATTAAAAAAGCTTATTTGTAAGCAAATGTGAAAGTTTTGAATTATCCAACTGAGTATTTGAAGAGCCACTATCATAAGGAGGGCAAATTAACTTTGCTTCCTTTTTATTTTTAACTGTTACAAATTATTTTACTGGTACTAATACAAAGCATTAGAGAATAGCAGGTTTGGGATTTTTTCTCTTCTTTTCAGAAAGGCTGTTTGTTGTTTGAGCAGATTTTCTTTGAATTTGCTGATGGGATTATTCTTACTTTTCCAGTTAGTGGCATATAAAATATTTAAAATAAGCTTTCCAAAACATCTGCAGGTTTTCCAGCTAAGATAGGACTAATTTAATTTGTGGGGTTTTTGCCTTTTTTTATTTTTCTTTTTTCCTCTTCCTGGGAGGAAGATTTCTGAGTAGTACCCCTTATTTATGCAAGGAAGAGTGAACGCATCATAAATGTGGCTTTGCACAATGAGGATTTTGTGACAGAAAAATGAATGAATAGTTCCTTTTAGATGTGGTCCTGCTACATGGTATGAGCAATATGAAACTGCCTGTCCATCTCTCTCTCCAGCAGTGAGATACATCTGTGTACACTGCACATGTAAAACCGTGAACATTGAAGGTAAACGTGGCAAGGTCTGTTTGTTCTCTGGGTAACAAAACTGCTCAGTCATGGGTTAGAAACCCTCAAGCTGCCACCTGCAAGTTGCCTCCTGCTGAAGGAGACACTAATTCAACACAGTGCATATTTTTTATGGGTCTGCTAATATCAGATTGCTCTGATTTTGCATCCCTAAAAGGGTTGTCTCTTTTACCCAAACGGTTCTTAATATTCATGTGCAATACTTCGGGATTAATGGTTCTCATTAGGCTAATTTGTCTCTCTCTCTAGATAAATAGCAGTACCAGTGTTTTGGTGTTCACTGATGAGCACACTTTCATCACTGCCTGTCTACTGGAAATGTTTGGGGGTAGATCTTCAGTGAGTGTTAATCAGCAGATCTTCACGGGGAGGATTGGAGTATTTTATGGCAGATGGAGGTCCCTGCTTTTATTTCTGACCTTAACTTCATCTCCAGTGCAAATGAATCCACATAAGCATCAGGTGTAGTTAACAGTTCAGGAGAGGATGAGAGCTTGGGTTGTGTGAAGTTTGGATGACTGGCTAGGGAAGGGTTATGTGTGATAATGTCCAGTAATGCTCAGACCAGAGCTATCTGAACTATATTTGACTTAAGAAAACTTAAATGTGCAATGTTGTCACATCATTACTTTTTATGACCACAAAAATTCTTCAGAAATTCATGTGGAAATCAAGGTGTATGCAAAAGAGATCAGCAGAGCTATCTTTAGCCTCCTTTAGGATTTACAACAAATAAGTTCTTTAAGCAGGCTGAGTAGTAAATGACTGGGTTTATTCTATGGTTATCAGTCCTTAAAAACATTTAGGGAAGAGGAATGTATTAAATGATCTCTGGACCAATGCACCTAATAACCTAAGGGAGAACTGGACATTCAAGAATGATGAAATGGTTGCAAGAAGTGTTTTCAGGATTATCAAGATGCTGATTGCATAATCCATTGCCAAAAATATTTATTTCTGGTCACATAAATAACGAAATTTAGATCCGAGGAGCTACTTTGTTTTAGAAATACAAGAATACTGTCTATGCAGAAGGCTTGCCCTTTCTACCATGGCAGAGGTTTTTCATATTAGATAGATGTAATAGGCTCTACTCTGTTCTAAACCTGACTTCATCCAGGTGTTAGTAGAATTAGAAAAATCCTTGGAAACTGTCAACTCTCTTTGTTCCCAAAAGCTGGATTTCAGCCACTATCTTAATTACTGACTGGGAGAGGAATCACTGCAGTGACAGAGGGTTTCCTTTCCCAGATTTTTTTCATGGTGCTGCTATTTATCTTTTTGATACCTTGAGACCCATTTCCTCTCAGCCTGTCTCCTGGTAGGTGCAGTATCTATTCACCAGTTAAGTGGGGATTTTATGCAAATTTAGAAATATATGTATATTACATATACACACAAACACATATCTGTGTATATATATGTATGTATGTATCAAGGTTTGCTAAGAGGTTGACTTTTTAAAGCTAATAAAGGCAACTGGGTACAGATTTCCATCTCAAGGTTAAGTGGTTAAATAAGGCAAGAGAGGGAGTGAAAAGCTTAGGGTTGACTGTGGCTTGAAGGCAACCATGGATTTGCTGGTGTCAGTACAGTTAGCAAGAGATGGAACTAAAATAAGGCCACGAGAAAAGCTCTTATAAATTCAGGTATAGGTTGTATGGAGTTTATTTATAGGATGCTTTCTCAAAGCCTCTGAACCTTTTGATGTTTGCCCATCGTTACTTTCAGGCCAGTTAATGATGTGTATCCAGTCCCATTCTTGGGTAGGTAAAACAATAAAGCAAACAAAGATAATTAGTCTCTGGAGCATGTAAACAAATAAAGTAAATCACTTGCAAATTATTTGTTTCTGCTAACTTTTGTGGTGTTGTTGCAAAACTGAAGAAAGGCATTTATACTGAAAATCTGCATAATGCTGGAGCAGTAATGAAAATTCATAGATTATACTATTCTGATTTTAAGAGGGCTTTGCAAAGATTAAGCATCTTATCCTGAGACATTACCGTGGGTTGTCAGATGCAAAAGAATATTTTTATATCTATTTCACAGAAGAGCAGATTGGAGTAGGGAGGTGATTTTTTTTTCATAGATGAAGGAGTAAATAACACTTCGTAAATAAACAAAAGTACTACTCCAAAATTATAAGGCTAAGATGAGCAAGGGAGTGACTGTAGGATGTGTGACCTTGACCCAGCTCATCAATGCCTTGCAAATTTTACAGACCTGAATGGGAGCATTATGTGGACTTTAAACCACAAATAACCAGTAGAGACCCTGTTAGCCCTTTTAATTTCCAACATGGCAGTGATGAGTTGATCACAATACAACTTCACTCCTGGTCTTAAAGCACCTCCTGCATGGAATCAGTGCTCTCCCCTCCTTGCCCATGGGCTGGCTGAGGTGAGTCAAGATAAAGTGGCCACTCAGCAGCAGAACTCGATGCAGAGCACATTTTCCTTTCATCTCAGCCCTGGAGTCAGTGCTCGGGAGTTTGGATAAAAGGAGGTTTTACAAGAACAAACAGATCTCAGTGCTGTGGCTCTGGGGAGGCTGTGCCAGCTGCTCCTCTGCTGTCCCAGCTGCTGCTCAGGCCAGGCCAGAGCAGGGGGAGCCCACTCTGGGAACGTGGGACACCACCAAAGCAGGTCCTGCTTCCAGCCCTGCACTGAGTCCTGCTTGCTCTGTGAGCACAAACATACAGCTCTGTGAATCAGTAAAACAGCAGCAACTGTGTTCTGAATAAAAGACTCCAGTTAAGAGTTCAGATCTAGGCAAAATGACTCCTCATATGATAAAATCAGTCTGTCTTTTTTTCTTGGCATGAAAATGCAGAACATTTCTTTTAGTAAAGGGCAGGCATTTCCCCGTTGTTCTGTTCCTTTATACTGTTTTGTTACACTTTTTTGTTCTGACTTCAAAAATAGATTCTGGAAAGAGATGTGTCTTAAAAAAGAGACTCTCGATAGCTGCAATGTGTCCAATATGCATTTAAGGTAAAGAATATTAAGCCTTGTCCAAAACCAGAGAGTGTTAAAGGTAAAAATGCCTTCAGGTTTGATTTTTAAAGAGATGCATTTTTCTTGCTGTTGCAGATCTCGCCTTGCAGATTTCTTCACCAACTGCCAGCCCGAGTCACGCTCCGTTAGCGGCTGTCTGAAGGAGAACTACGCGGACTGCCTGCTCGCTTACTCGGGGCTCATCGGTAAGGGGGCAGGAAGGGCGGGGGCTTGCTCATGAGAAAAACACCCCAAACTGCATTTGGAAGGCCTGTGTGAAATAAAAGCTGGAATATAATAACGTGTGGTATGATACTAGGCCAGTTTCCCCACTTATATGGAACAGCCCTGCTTCGCCTTGCAGAGGTTTTTGGGGTAAGTTTGTACACTACTAGAAAATTAAGGATGGAAGATAAGGAGAGAAAAGTGCTTGGATTTGAAATAAATGCAAGCTTGAAAAGTAAAGCTTATTTGGAGTGTTGAATGTAGACAGGAGCGAGGAGTAGGAAGTTAACAAGTGGAAGTGCAGCTTGGTTGATATTGCAGCTGTCATCACAAGTTTGGGTAAACACCTCCAGAGAAAGGTACCTGAACCTGAGGTATGAAGCAATAGATCAATCCAGCCTTTTATCAATTGCAGCTGCTATTCTCTCCATGATCTCCTTCTGTCCACTCTAAGTGTTTTCAGAGATGCCTGTCAGTGAGATGAGGTGAACCCAAATCTGAAATCCTCTTCCCTCCCCAATGTAGTTATTTTTGTTTGTTGTCACCTTCCTGAGTGTCATCAGGCACAAGGATGCCTTTATGGAAGCCAGATTCCACATGCCACCCTCAGTATTTGATTCCTGAAAGAGAGAGATCATGTCAAGAAGCTGAATGTGTTGTAGAAATATCATAGTTGGGCAATAAATAATAAGTGAATGTCAAAACTCTGAAACAAATAAATTTGAAAGGCCACCAGATAAAATGTTTTTAAGCTTACAGCCTGCACCTGCTGCATTGCAGTAATATCCCCTTTTTGTTGGGCATGAAGGTGCCAGCTGAGGCCCTGAAGCTGATCCTGCTGTTAAATAAATGTCTCTGGAGATAAGATCAAAATGAAAATATTTCTAGAATAGGTTGGATTTGCTGAAAAATGACTGAAAGCTATCCTCAGTGGCTTATTGTTACATTCTTATTACTCCAGCAGCCAACAAGTGAGGTAAGTCCATGTGGCAATGGGTAAAATGAGATGTGATGGCTTCAAAGGATATTCTTCTACCACTGAAGAGATTAAGACAGTATGCAAAGGCTATAACAACTGAACAGTTATGACAGACTGTCATTTGACTCTGAAACAGAGAGCTGAATAGCCTTGAAATCTGATCTTGTCAATGAGATTAAGAAGTCTGGCTGCTGGCAAGGAGTAACTGGTACTAACTGATACTCCTGGGTAGGAGCTGTCGAGTTCTTGCTGGACCTAGAGAATTTTGCTGGAAGTTCTGTTGGTTTCATTTTTCAGTTTAACCCCAAAGATGACCCAGTTCCTCTTGTGAGGTGTTCTTGTGTTACTGGGGATAACCACGCTGCAAAACACTGTCACACATCAGAAATGTGGAATGGATGCCTAAGGAGTGCAAATCAAAAGGAGATCTACTTTTCAAAGGGAAAAAACCCCACATTTTTCTTCCTTCCTGCTACCCCCTGGAGACTTGCAAAAAAGGAGCTGAGTGGTGTTACAAGAGTTTTTGCTTCTTAGTAGTAATTCTGTTAAATTAAGAAATTACCAAAATGTTTCTTGTGTTGAAAAAGTAAATTCCTGCTTCTGATATCAATCAGATATTAAAGTGGAGTAAGGCAGAAATCAGGGGTATAATCTTTCAAATGTCTGCTTAATAGTTATAAAACACAAGAATAGACTGTGGGTGGTAAGAAGCTGCTACAGATCCATTTGTTCATCAGAGCTTCAGGATCTCCATTTAATTAAGATAAACTATTGTTTATTAAAATAAATATGATTTCATTTAGCCATTTCATTAAAGGTAGCAAAAATTGCACCTCCACAGAGTTTGTTAAGGAAACTGAGGGTTTTCTATGCAAGGTACAGTGAATTTGAGTCTTTCCTGAAATACAGGGATGTAAATGAGTTAACTTCACTGAAAGGAGTGGAATCCCACCTAAAATAAATGACTTTAAATAGAAATAGAGCCAGTCACAGTTTTTGAATGAGGCGCTTTGGTCAATAAAATGGAGAATAGTCTGTAGAAGCTGCTTTAATGTTTTCATCAGGCTGTTATATATATCATTTTAAAGATATGTAAGCTTTCCAGGAAGTTGAAAAACCTTAATTCATTGCTTTAGGCTCCTTGTTGTAGTATAAGGATAAGTTATTTTTTTTTTTTAGTTAACAGAAAAGTATAAAAAATAATTAATGTAAAAGGAGACTGTGGGATAGGCATGTTTGAGTCAGTGCTGTGCTTACAGCCTGGCTAAGCCAGGTGGACCTTCTACACTCCCATATGAATTAAGTTTTGCTCAAAGTGCTGATTTCAAGATCTGCTTTAGCATTCTCCTTCTGACACATTTTCCCTTGTCTTGAGCAAAATCCATCCAAGTTCTCTGTTATTCCCAGGAATTCTATGAGAGTTTGTGTGAATAAGCTGGAGTTGCTTTGGGCCAAAGAAACTTCAGCCCCTTGTCCCTTCTCCCAGACTCACCATCCATCTCCTTATTAATTCACCCTAATTTGAGCAACCTCTGGGCTGTGTTCAGGGCGAATCTGCTTTTATCTAAAATGTGGAGGTCTCGTTGCTGACTTTTGAGACCATCCCAGAGCTGTTTGATACCTAGAGCTCAGAAAACCAGTCATGTCCTGTTTTACCATGGTTTCTCTGATCCCTTAGTGTCCATCAGCAGAATTTCCAAGATGCAGCTAGTGGAGAGGGGGGGAAGGGAAATGCACACACTTTTTTGCAGAGGAAAAAGAAAATCCACCCCAGGAAACCAAGCATATAATCTGCTTGGGTTCACATCTGCCCCCAGGTTTAAATGACAGACTGATTTTCTACTAGCTGCTCTTTCAGCCACTCTGTTTTTGCTGGATGCACAGTTTGTGTGCTGTGTACACACTTTCCTTGTCCTGTCTTTCCTGTATTCATCAACCCTAATTGTACCTTGGTATCTGTTACACTTTTAACCCCTGTCTTAACCCATTTTAATTACCTTATATACCTCTTTGTGATAAGAAAGTCTTACCTCAGTGACCTTTTTAATTTCCTCAGTACCTTTCTGTTTTTTCAACCCTTCACTAAGCATTTGCTAATTAGAAGTTTTTTTTCAGCCTACTATTTTCTTTCCATTTGCAAAAATCCTCTTGATTTTCACTTTCTCACACTTTTTTTCAGATTCTGCTGCAAGGCTGAAACAGTGTTCTGAACCACCACATGGATGAGGGAGAGACATTTTAATGTGTTTTAATTTAACATCATTCCTCTTACTTGTCTACTGTCCAGTTTTCATTAACAATGCAAATTTGCCTATTTTACTAAATTCTCTATCTGCACTTAAAGAATTTTGAACCATGCTGCTTACTCATGTACCAATCTCATGTAGAATTCAAGCAATTATTAGTGCAACTATCTGTTAAAAGCTGCAGGAAGCCAAAGGTGTGGGATTATAGACAAATTTAAGAACATCCCCTGCTTTTTGTGAATTTCACTATGGGACCACATTCATTTTCCCATCCATTACTATCTTCCTCAGGCCAGCCCCTGTGCCTGTTGTCCTTTGTCTCCCACATCACATATGAGGCATTTTGCATGTTGATTTGTTCATTTCCCAGCACTGCCTGGTGACTGAAAGGCTATTACACATCACTCTGTGATTTGTGTTATTTCTAATGTTCCTTTCTTTAGCTTAATGTTTGATAGCCCTTTCCCGTCTGTTATTGCAGACTCTTGGACCCTGGACCTGTGGACCAAATTTTCTCTCCTTGTGTACACTTTGGGTCTCTAACATTTGTCCTTCATCTATTCCATCTTCTTAATGACTACTTTGATGTCAGTTCTGAGGAGATGTGATCACATTTCCTCACAATATATGACCTGTCCTAGGATTGCAAATTATCCAGGGAGGAACATATTCCCTGAAGCATCTGGCAGCTGTTCAGGTCTGGAATACCATCCCCTTTTTATTTAATTTTTCCATTTTGGTCAGACAAATAAAATAAAGATTGGAACTTCTCAATCCTTAGGAAAGTTTGAAATATCTGACCTGCTGGGGTAATGCATTCAGTGACATTACTGGCTTGGGCAAGTGCTCGTCATAGAACAGTTTCCTGATCCAGATGAGTGATGAACACTTGTTGTACATCTTTTAGGACACAAAATGCCTGCTTTGCTTTCATTTCATTCTTGGTTGCCTTGAGCTGGCATATAAATGTGAGAATATTTATGCAAGGGTTTGTAACGGAGTTGGAATGACCCTGTGGTTGGAAAGTTGTTGACAATTTTTAGGAAATAATCCCTTTACTGAGGAAGTAGTGAAACAGCAGGATTAATAATAATTTATTCCCTGCAAAGAATCTGCTGTACCTTTTGATGTATGCTGGTTTTTGCTCTGTTCATCACCCTAACCCACTCTGCTGGCAGGTCCCTGATGAGCACCCTGAGGTTAACACTGCTCCAAGATGTGGTAGGGCTCCCCTCGGCATGACCAGCATTCTCCTTGCTCATGCATTTCAGAAATGTTTTTCTAGTCTGGCTGCAGACTCCAGGAGGAAGGTCTGGTTACCATTTCAGCCATTTATTTGCAGCTAGAATTAAAATGAGAAAAAACGCAAGCAGGGAAAGCAAAATCCTAAAGGGTTTTGAAGTGCAGCTCTAAAGACACAGTCCACGTGTGTTTGATTTGGCAGCAAAGCCCTTCAAAGAGGAGCTCACCTTCTCCCAACCCATCCCCTCCCTCTGCCATGGTTTTCTACCTGTCAGTTCTGCTGATGCAGCTCACTGTGGGAATCCTTTTTGGAGGGCAGAAATGTGTTTTCAGTGTGTGAGCCGCGTTACAGTCCCTAAAGTGCTTGCATTCAAACGGCAGCGGGTGTGAAATACAGCACAGGGCTGGGGGTCAGAGGCTGAGAGGAGCCAGGAGCTGCCAGATCTGCAGCTCAGCCCCGAATGCAGGGCTTCCCAAGGGCTGTTTGCCATCTTAGGGTGGAAGGAATGTTCCAGTGCAAAGGTTGCTGACAGTGCTGTGCTTCTCTCTGGGGACAGGCACTGTGATGACACCGAACTACATCGACTCCAGCAGCCTCAGCGTGGCCCCGTGGTGCGACTGCAGCAACAGTGGCAACGACGAGGAGGACTGCAAGAAATTCCTGAATTTCTTCCAGGACAACATATGCCTTAGTGGGTACAAAATTAGGTGTCTTTAATGTGCTGTAGATGTCTTTTAGATGTCTTTTAATGTATTGTAGAGTGTTTTCCAGAATTCCTTAACTGCTTACGACACATCGAGGCCATCGCTTTGTACGTTGTTGAGCAGGGCTCTGTTGTAGGTGTAAAAATTAAAAGAATGAGCAAATATGCCTGATACTGTGGTTTATGGCCAAGATTGCAACATGAGAAGCTCTTGGAAAAATAAAACAAGACCCCAACTTGTATGGTATTGAAATATGTTTACATCACAGGTCATATCTGGAGCCTAACAGTCAGGCAGCATCATTACCATGGAATTGCAGCACCTGAGGGGTTTCTGTATAATTTCAGAACTTCATATAAAAAAGACATGTAGTTTAGGATATGAAGGATTTGCCGTAAGTATAAATCGGATTGTGCTTGAAATTTACAGCCAACTTCATTTTTTTTAGGATATTGGATCTCAGATGCCTGGTTTTAACAGAAGCCTGGATAGTAACTATTGTAAAGATTTTGTTAAATTATTGATTTTTTTTCTTTCGGACTCACTTCCAAATTAGGGACTATTATAAATTTCAGAATGGCTCAGTGGAGTCGATTTTGGCAGGTTCTCTTTTCAAATTTCCTGTCTGCCTAGGAGCAGCATAATTGGATGATGTGGAGTGTGCATCAAAGTTTTAATTTCAGATAAATGAGGAGACCAAAAGAGCTTGGCTTCTCTAGTCTAGCATAACAGGAGTTGAAAGGATTTGTGATTCTCCTCTGAAATTGCATTAGCTGGGCAAGCCCAGGGAGGGGAAGGGATTACTTCACCTGCAGGACAATGTTGGCATAAGATCAAAAAGGAAGATACTGGCCATACATATTTAGGCTTAAAATGGGAAAATTTTTAACCATCAGACTAAAATTAAGAAATAGGCTTCCAAAAGGAGTTTTGAGGGTAAAAGTGGTTTTAAAAGTCACATTTCATCAGCTTATGCAAAGAAGCAGACATCATTGCTTTTCTCCAAAACAATAAATGAGCTCAGTGATCCAGACTGGCCCATGCAGCCCTAGAGACCTGAGCTGATGCTAGGGCAGGGCTCAGTATTTTACTAGAGGGTCTGAAAATCCCCATTGAGCTTCTCAGGAGGCAGCACTGCAATGAAGGCACAGGGAGGTCTGTGCACAAAGACCTGAGTTGCTCTGTGGTACAGTATTTATTAAGCTTTGGAAGAACAAATCAATTACTCAAGATCATTTAACAAAAGAAGAAGAGAAAAGAGTTCAAACTTTACAAGGGGTAAAATTTGACAATATGCCACCAGACCTTCTTCAAGACTAATGGCAGTTGCCATTTATATCTATTGCAGTACCTCAGATTTATCAATTTTTGAATGTATTAATTTCTAGAGTGTTGCAGGTTCCTTTTAGAACATAAAGACAGAGCGATTCCTTGTCCTTTCTTTTGCCATCAGTACAAAAGCATTAATGAAGACAGATCAAAGACATTGGAGGTTACTGGGAGATAAATTATATCATCCTAGCTGCAAGATAATGTCTTCTTCAGGAAGAAATTAAAAGTGTTTCTGGATTTTCTACAAAGTTTTGTCTTTCACATAAAATAGGAATTTCAAAAAATTTTTGTTTTCATTAGTGAGCCTTCCATTACCTGGAGAAAATGTCATTAAAATCCTTCCCACTTCTTTTATACAACAGAAGAAGTTCTTTTTTCACGGTAGGAAGAATCTAGGAATTTCTTACTAGTCTGTTTTCCCTTCAAAATGGAAAATAAACCTGTTATTTGGGGCATTTACAACAATGATCTAGTTGAAGTTGCTCGTTGCAGGGGGGTTGGACTGGAAGACCTTGAAAGGTTCTTTCAACCCAGACAGTTCTGTGATTCTGTCATAGACTCAGAATATCTCAAATTGGAAGGGACTCATATAGATAATCAAAAATGATTGTATTAAATAATTGAAGACTAATTGTAAAGGCTGCTTGTTACTTTGAAAACTGGAAGGATTGCAGGTATTTCTATGACCATTCTTGCAACAGTAGAAACAAAGAGTTACTGTGGTTTTAGGAAATACTGCTTTTTATATTGCCTTATTCAGGGAAACACAAGAAACCTTACCATATCGTTTTTCCCACTGTGTCTCTATTAATGCAGCTTATTCTGGTGCTTTTTACAAGTTCTTCTCTTTGCATCTTGAACTTCTGAGAATGAATATCAGAACAAAATACATCTTTTTCATAAGAAAATTACATGTAAATTATTTTATAAGGCAAGGAATGGCACTGAGAAGAAGTGTTAATAACTTCCACATATTAGTCCCCAGTGAAATTGTTTGATTTCTTGTACAAAGAATTTGAAATAAGAAATCCCCAAATCCTTGTTGAATCCCCAAAGACCTGATTAAGAACTGTTTTTCTGTTTGTTTATAAAAAACCTCCAACCAATTTACTCTTGCTATAAACACACTCTTTAATCCTGTGAAACTGTGATAAGCTTTTTAACTTTTATATTCTAAAGTTTTAGTTTAACCATGTTTCCCTTACCCAATTATGCAGATTTTGATTGAAAATGGTAAGGAAAAGATTGCCGTAGTTAAACTATTTTGTAGTTATAGGCATATTAGTTTTACTAGAACAAGATGTAGAAATAAATATTTATCCTGTTCTCTGTTTTTACTTTGCTGTCTAACTTCAGCTGCCTGAATTAGGACATGACATTCAAACTTTTTTTAAAATCTTGAAAGTAAATTTTTGAGTCTTTTGGATGGTAATAAATATGATTATGGTAAGTCCTAAAGCTTCTGTCAAGAATTACTGGAAACATTACAAAGAAGAGGCTGCACCAAATAATTATGTGACCCCAGATTTTCAGTTCGTTTCTGATAGGTTCAAAATTAAGACACATTTTTCAGCATAAAATTGAGTTTCTACAAATAGACATTTAAAATATAATAATAATAATGGCAATAAAAAACAACTCAGTTCTGCTTTTTGCCTTTTTTTTTTTTTTTAGAAATAGAAAATTGCCTGTAATTTATTTTCACAGAAAATGCAATTCAGGCCTTTGGCAATGGCACTGATGTGAATGTCTGGCAGCCAATCTTACCAGTACAGACCACTACAGCCACAACTACAACAGCTTCCAGACTTAAAAACACAGGGTCAGAGACCACCAACAACGAAATACCCTCCCACAATGATTCACCAGCATGTGCAAACCTGCAGGTAAGAGACTTTTGTACTTCTTGTTGGCATAAATGAAAGTTTTTCATAGATACCTGTCAAGGAGTCTTGCACTGCCTAACTAGATGCCTGCCTAAATTGGAATATCTGTTTATTCCCATGGTGTAGTTACAAGCTGTACATGTTGTGAGCTGTCAGACACTCTTATTTTAAATCAGGAACTTGCATATCTCAAAGTGGACTTTATTGCCTTGCTGACTCAGAAACAGGGGATGGTATTTAATTTCTTATCACAGGTTTGAATATGAATGTGGCACTCTCCAAATCCTGCCAGGATATGTCAGATTAAATTTATCCCTTGAGTACTCCTAATTCAGAGGGAACCCTTAATGTGAGCTAGCATGTCCTGCTGCCTTCTTTCTTATGTTATTGGCATTAAACTCAAGAAGGTTTTTTGGCTAAGTAGTCCTGGATATTATAGAACATATGGTGCTGCAAGCTACACATTGAAGAAAGTGGACAGAGATAAAACTATTTTGAATCAGGCACTCTCCTGAACTGAGGTCGAGGTCATGATGTGATTTTGGCCAATGGCTGTAGTGATTTTCTTTGACACTTAAATTAGGCCATTGATAGTGGATCATTGATTCTGGATTTAGAGGCTCACCACTTGCTGAAGATAGCTTTTGCAGCTCTTTGAAAGATGAAGGACTCGGGCAGGAGAAGACAGCAAAATCAAGGCAGGAAGAAGGCAGTAGGAAATGTAAAATGAAACCATCCTTAGGCCAGATTGGAATCAGGCTGTAAAAATTTCTGGTGGTTTAAATACAAAATTAGGTCAAGCAGGGATAGATCAGCTTGTCCTGTTTATTTTTGTCCTTACAGAAAGAAAATTGCTATGTGACACAAATATAAGTGTCCAAGCTTTAAGGTCTCAGCTGGTATTAAGATAAATTTTTCTGTATTTCTGGATTTCACTGTTAAAGCATTGATTTTTCATTTCCTATTAAAAAAACCCCACTTTTTTTTCTTTATATTAAATAGTTCCATGTCTACTGAACCAGAAATATTTTATTTCTGAGAAGTATGTTTTGCTTCTTAATTTTTCCTGTGCTGCTTCCTCTCCTTCATCCTTTTCCAGTTCCTGCATCTATTTTGCATTGGAAAATTATGTCTGCATCAACATGAGGGACATTACAGAGTCACAAAGTATAGGAGGTTAATGATAGGTGGTGCTGAGTTTTGGTCCTTCTGTTTTAATTCTGTTTTTCTTCATCTGTGCATTCATTACTATTTAAGCTTTGTAAGGTATTCATAAGAGAGACAGTTAGAGGCATATATTGCTATTTGCAATAGTCATTTAACCAAATAGAATATGCTGAAAGAAACACAACCTTTTAAACCTGAAATTTAGAATATCTCACATTTAGAACAAGACCTTGACGGGATAATACTGAGTCACTTCATGTTGTATTAAAAAGTTGTGTTATGGGAGAGATCACTTTTTCCTTCAGTGTTTGTACAGCCCCCTGCAGAGTAAGGCCTCCAGATGCTACCAAAGTACACATAATAAATAAAGAACTGAAGAAATGGCAAGTGATCACAAATCCCATTGGATTCACTTGAAATTGCAAATGTTCCTTAAGCCTGAATAGATGTTCCTGTGTTTTGAAAATGACTTAAATTCTTCCTTGTCCTTCCTCCTGTTACTGTGGCATTTTGAAGTCACATCCCACATGAGTTTGGTTTAAAGCTGTACTGTGACTTCAAGCGTACCCCCTGATGTACTTGGTACAAGAAACGAAGATTAATAGGGAAAAATAGGTTCCTTTAAATAAATGATCTCTGGTGTTTTGGCAGAAACTGTAGATAAAGTCTGCATTAAAATGTCACTGAAGTTATGTGGACCAAGCAGTTCTTGAATATTGAAGAATATTGAAGCACAATATTCTATGCCTACCACGTCCTTCTGTCAGAACTGAAGCAGAAAGAACAAAGCTTTAATATTTTAATGCATTTTTCAGAAAGTAACTTGCGAACAGAGCCAAAACAAGCCCACAATTTTTTAAAAAGAAACCTATGTTTTCTGGACAGTATGGTGCCACTTTGCGTGTGAGACTTAAACCCTAATGCAAATTTTATAAAAGAACTGGTATTCATATTGCACTTGGAGAAGGGTATTCATTCTGAGCCTCTCCCCCCATGAAAATATGCCTTTGTGATATTTTCAAAACATGAACCAGTGCAGCCAAAAGCTTTTTCAAATGCTTAGCATCTGAGCTGAAAGGTTTCTAAAAGGCAATATAGCCTGAACACTATGAAAAGTCAAATTACAAACATCAGTCTCGGCACAAAAGGACAATGGCAGAGGAGGGCTAAGGAAGTGGTCATTGAGATGCAACAGCGGCTGCATATTTTAGTTAGTGGGTTTAAAAATACAGAAGGAAGAAAGAGCAGGAAGTGATTGATTAGTATAAATTGTCATTGAAAGAAATAGAGCAAGGGAAGAAAGAGCAGGAAGTGATTGATTAGTATAATATGCCACAGAAATGAGCAAATAGCAACCTCCCGGGGCTGTGAAATACAGGGCACTAACCCAATCTGCCAGGAGTGCCACTGCCTGAGCAATTTTTGATACATTTCTTTCTGACTTGTTCAGAATGGTCATAGGATGAGCAGGAGTGCACCCATGGATTTGTTGCTGTGCCATGTTCACCTGCACAAGCAAACCTGGGAATCAGAAAGGTGGTGAATGCTTGAAGAAAATGCAAGATATTTTTTGTTTACCTGTGCTCAATATTTACTTCAAAAACCTGTTGAAGATTTGGAATTTAAAATAATGTTTATTTTAGTGATGCTGTTTAGAAGTTGTTCTGCATTTGAACTTATTGCTATGAGAATTTGCAATTCATCCTATTATGGGGTATTGTCTTATTTCAGGTTGATACAGCAAAATGTTTATTTCTGATATCTGCTTATTTTATGTTTACATATGCATAGATTGTGTAAGATACTCTTTTTTACATTTTTACAAAGTGTTTATTTCTGATATGTGCTTACTTTATGTTTACATATGCACGGATTGTGTAAGATATTCTTTTTTTCTGTCCCTCAATTAAATCAGCATTCTATCTTTGCCAGGAAGATGCTTAATTTATTCAAGAATCCTCTAAACTCTTTTTATGAACCTGACTTCTAACAGAATTTGCTAAACAAAGTAAATAGTAGTAGCTAGGTTTATACAAAATGCTAAATTTAAGTATATTTGAAGTGCTTGACATCTTGCGGAGAATTCTCATCACCATAAAAATAACATAAAGTATTGTGAACTGTCTTGGTTTGAGAACAAAAAGGAAGATAAATCCCAACAGTATGTTCCTTATACAGGCAGATTTTATTAAGTAATTGCCAACCCAGTGTTTTTTTCTGGTGGCTTCACTCTGATGTTTTCTATTTAACTGACATATATGTTAATCCTTCATTTTCAGTCATAGCTTGCATTCAGTGTGCCAGTCAAAAAATGGTTCTGGTCTTCCAGTCTCATGTTCTACCCCCACTGCCTGAACCATCATGTTAGATTATTTGAAAGGGACAAAAGAATGAGTTTGGATGTGTACTCACACCATGTATTCTTCAAAAAAAGGCTGCCTTTGCATTTAGGAGAGATGGATGGACTTGAAGGATGATAATGAAATGAACCTCGTGATAGATTAGACCAGTTGGTCCTAGGTCATTGCAGAGGTAAATAAAAAACCCAGACTTCCACACTCAGTTTTCTATAATATTTTAAAGGATGTTTTGCAAAAGACAAGATGGTTAAGGACATTTAAGTACATGTATGCATCAGAGTCTTGCTAGCTAGCTCCATACTTTGTTTTCCTATATTTATTATGTCTTGCTCTTGCCTTGGATGTTCAGCATTCAAAGAGAAACTAAGGTTTTTGTGCTTTTGAAGAATGTAGCAATGGACAGATATAATTGAGATACATGACCCTTTGGACTGAAGACAAGTCCAGTATGTAATTGCTGTGCTCTCAGCAGCAAAATTTAAAAAGTATGAGATAGAAATTGAAAATATCAAATATTTTGTGAGGAGCATGGGAAAAGAGAAATCTGGATATTTAAATATATCAATTTGTTCTTTTTGCATGTAAAATTAGCGAGTGTTTATAGCAGACGTGGGTCATGATGCAAACTGCTCTTCCACAAATTCACATAATAGTTGTGATTTTAAAAAATATTTATAATGGTGAATCCTAGGACAAAAAACAGGCGAGAGGGCTCACACTACTCTGAGGAGAGCAGGACTTTAATATGACTGAGAGTGAAAATGATTCTGCTTTTGCCATGCAGATCTTCAGCACTGTGCAGGGAGCTGCTAATCTGCTGGGTTAAGTACCCTCTACAACTGCTTACTGTTGCTTCCCAGGTGCTAAATGTCATTATTGGAAAGCATTATGTGGATGTTTGGAGAGGGTTAAAAGCTCCAGTGTAGCATTCTGAGGATCAGGACACAGCAGGTGTGGATCTCCACAGGCTGGTAATTGGTGGTGGGTGAACATAAGCAGGAAGCACAGGCAGTGTGTAGGTGAGGGAATGGCACAACTGCTGAGATGGAGCCCTGGGGTAGACACAAAGCCTGGTTTATCCCCTGAGCACCATTGTTAGCTCACCCATACACCTGGCACACTCTTTCCCCCATCCCTCACACAGCCCTTAAACTTTTTGTGACATAAAAGCATTGATTTTTCAATGCTCTGTCTGCTCCATCCCTTGGCAAAATCCTGCTTGGACCTTTTCCTATGGGCATTCCAGCTACACAGAAAGATACAGTCTGGGGCAAAAGATGGACAACAATATGCAACTCTCAATGCTGTGCCAGAACCAAAAGAAAAGAGAAAAAAAAAAAAGACTTAATGTTTTCTATGAAAAGATTTAAATCTACCTCCTGTATTTCCAGGATTAGCTGGCATAATGGGGAGAGCCTGCTGGTACAAGTGATTTCAAGAACATTTACTGGCAGCTTTTCTGCTAAAAAAGCA